CTAGCAGCCCCTCTCTGTACCAACTGTGTGTACTAAAGTTAAATATTTTATTAACTTATTTCAATCTTTCCCATTAGCAGTGTTGATTATTTGATGTAATGTTTTCAGGAAAGTGAAATTTCTACGTCTCATTTCATCCAACCATTCGGCTGCCCAGACACTTTATTTGATATCATTCAAAAATGTGTTGAAGTAAATCCAAACAAAAGACCTACAACTGTGGACCTCATCAGGTAATGTGGACCTGGGGGTCGATAAGACCTTCTCTTATCGTATTTCTTACACATATACCAAAGTAACAAGATTTAAAATGACAGGAATATTTATGTTCCATTATATTTATTTATTTTACATTTAATATATGGGGAAATTAGATACTAAAATAACTTTAAAGAATGAAACACCAAATTTAAGATAAAAGGTAACTGTAAACACATATGATGATGACCCATAAATTGACCTGGTCCATGAAGGATATAATCAGAAATCAAACTTTACTGTGTAAAGACATCCAAAGGGAAACCACTTCTACATTCAGAAGTATTACTTCAGATGCAATGAAATCCAAAAGGAGGCCACTTCCAAATTCATAATTATTGACCCTTGAAGAATCCAATCACCTGTAAATTATACTTTTATTAGTTAAAAATAGGTTATTATAAAATTATATAAATTTTATTAATGTTCATTTTGTTTTTGTTCAAGTTCCGATCTCCTTTCCTCAAATTATAAATATTAATTTGGGAATCTTGCTCTGTTCTAGTTCTCTTGAAAGAGAAGCCAATCATCAAACAGCTCAGCTGATTATATTAAATCCATCTGAGTCATCTTTTCTAGCAACAACTGACACAAACCATGTTCAAGAACAGCACCAGGTCGAGCTTGTCTCAACAATGGTTTCACCATCTTGTCTTCATGTCATGAACCCATCAGATACTTATGCCGATAGTTCTGATGACACATGGTGCTATCATCACTCCGTCGACTCACTAAGCACAATTTACAATGAAGTGTATGTTGAAGAAGACAGCAAAAACATGTTTAGTGATATTTACCTTGAACCGACAGACTATATCAGTTGTTCAGAAATTGTACATTGTTCCCAAGCTTCACCCAAGATCCTTAATGAAACAGTCAATATCCCAAGAAAAGAGAACTCTCCATCCAGTGAAGCTGGATATGAGTTAATTACAACAAATTTATCTGTTGAACAAAAATGTCTTGTGTCTGAATCTTCAAAGTTTCCCAGTGGATATAAGAAAAACAGACCGTTGCCGGCCATTCCAGAATGTGCAACTCAAAGTCTTTCGGCACTCCAGAATTCTATTGCAACAGTCACTGAATCTAGTAGTCCCATGGTAAACAGACCATTGCCTGCAATTCCAGTATGTAATGATCAAAGTCTTGAGACGAAAGCTACTGTCCAGAAATCCATAGCAACACTACTTGAATCTAGTAGTCCTGGGGTAACCCATGCATTACCCGTCATTCCAGACAGCGCATGTTTCACAACAAAAGCCGACATCCAACATTTTTCCACCACATCAGATGGGACCTTGACATTTGCACCTGGCTGTGACCCAAAAGGTACATACAGAATTGCAGGCAAAGAACCTGTGGCCTCGCCAACAACTTTGGTAAATAATGCAACATCACACAAACAGATGATACATCAAACACAAGGCTACAACAGTTTAAACCCCATCGCCGTAGCTAGTATTTCATCGACACACTATGTGTATGATAACTTCCATAAAAGTTCAGCGTCTGCCTCTCCTCTAAAACATCTTCCACATCCAAATGTCAGCTGCATGGCCTTGAATAATCTGTTGCAACATGGAACTGATACAAATGTGTCCAGTCAATCTCAATGCCTTAATGCCTCTCATAACACACATTTAGGAAGCATTGGTGACGTCTACAGACACTCAAAACATCTTCAAACCACAGCTCAAATGAAAGATTTAAGACCAGTTGAAAGCTACGGGAGCTCACACCATACACTCGATTGTACTCAAATTCAGCAGTTAAGACAGGTTGATGATATGTACAGACATTCACAATGTCCAATTAATGGGGCTCAAATTCAGCAGTTAAGACAGGTGGATGATATATACAGACCTTCCAAACATCCAATTGATGGGGCACAAATTCAGCAGTTCAGAGAAGTTGGTGATATGTACAGACATTCACAATGTCCAATAAATGGGGCTCAAATTCAGCCATTACGGCAGGTTGATGGTATTTACAGACATTCACAATGTCCTCTTGATGGGGCTCAAATTCAGCAGTTAAGACAGGTTGATGATATGTACAGACATTCACAATGTCCTATTGATGGGGCTCAAATTCAGCAGTTAAGACAGGTTGATGATATGTACAGACATTCACAAGGTCCTATTGATGGGGCTCAAATTCAGCAGTTAAGACAGGTTGATGATATGTACAGACATTCACAATGTCCAATTAATGGGGGTCAAATTCAGCAGTTAAGACAGGTTGATGATATTTACAGACATTCACAATGTCCTATTGATGGAGCTCAAATTCAGCAGTTAAGACAGGTTGATGATATGTACAGACATTCACAACATCCAATTAATGGGACTCAAATTCAGCAGTTAAGACAGGTTGATGATATTTACAGACATTCACAATGTTCAATTAATGGGACTCAAATTCAGCAGTTAAGACAGGTTGATGAGATGTACAGACATTCACAACATCCAATTAATGGGGCACAAATTCAGCAGTTAAGACAGGTTGATGATATGTACAGACATTCACAATGTCCAATTAATGTGACTCGAATTCAGCAGTTAAGACAGGTTGATGATATGTACAGACATTCCCAACATCCAATTAATGGGGCTCAAATTCAGCAGTTAAGACAGGTTGATGATATTTACAGACATTCACAATGTCCAATTAATGGGACTCAAATTCAGCAGTTAAGACGGGTTGATGATATGCACAGACATTCCCAACATCCAATTAATGGTGCTCAAATTCAGCAGTTAAGACAGGTTGATGATATGTACAGACATTCACAATGTCCAATTGATGGGATACAAATTCAGCAGTTAAGACATGTTGATGATATTTACAGACATTCACAACGTCCTATTGATGGGGCTCAAATTCAGCCGTTAAGACAAGTTGATGATATTTACAGACACTAACAAGATCCAGTAAAATTTGAACATTTTGTACAACATAACTTTATCTATTGCTGTTGCTACAACTTAAACTTTATTTAATCATATTGTTACAGCTTAAACTTGACATTTTGCAAAGAACTCGTCATGTCAAACTCTTGCATCATTCTCATTTATAAAGTTGATTGTAAGCATGCAATAAAATCTGTGCAATACTTGCATTTGTCCCGATATTTAGAAATGTAAAGTAACCCTTGACCCCTGAATCAAACAGGTGTTAATAATTTTCATACAATCCTTGAATCATTCTTGAATCATAAAGTTTTATGTAATTGTCAAACAATCCTTGCTTCAGTCCTTAATCGTAACTTAGTATGTAGATATGCTGATCTTAACTTTGCATATAGGCATCTAATACAATCATTGCTTCAGTCCTGATCTTAACTTTGTATGCAGGCATGAAATACAATCATTGCTTGAGTCCTGATCTTAACTTTGTATGCAGGCATGAAATACAATCATTGCATGAGTCCTGATCGAACTTTGTATGTAGGCATGTAATACAATCATTGCTTCAGACCTGATCTTAACTTTGTATGCAGGCATGTAATAGAATCATTGCTTGAGTCCTGATCTTAACTTTGTATGCAGGCATGTAATACAATCATTGCTTGAGTACTGATCTTAACTTTGCATATAGGCATCTAATACAATCATTGCTTCAGTCCTGATCTTAACTTTGTATGCAGGCATGAAATACAATCATTGCTTGAGTCCTGATCTTAACTTTGTATGCAGGCATGAAATACAATCATTGCATGAGTCCTGATCGAACTTTGTATGTAGGCATGTAATACAATCATTGCTTCAGACCTGATCTTAACTTTGTATGCAGGCATGTAATAGAATCATTGCTTGAGTCCTGATCTTAACTTTGTATGCAGGCATGTAATACAATCATTGCTTGAGTACTGATCTTAACTTTGTATGCAGGCATGTCATACAATCATTGCATGAGTCTTGATCTTAACTTTGTTTGTAGGCATGTAATACAATCATGGCTTGAGTCCTGATCTTAACTGTGTATGCAGGCATGTAATACAATCATTGCATGAGTCCTGATCTTAACTTTGTATGCAAGCATGTAATACAATCATTGCTTGAGTCCTGATCTTAACTTTGTATGCAGGCATGTAATCCAATCATTGCTTGAGTCCTGATCTTAACTTTGTATGTAGCCATGTAATACAATCATTGCTTCAGTAAATGAAACAAGAAGTCACTGGTGTGTTCAAATACTATTTTGAATGAGTTTTTTTGCATTGGGGAATTTGTGTATGTCAGTAACACCTCTGATGCTCTCAATGACATTTACTATGACTTAATGATGATGTATATACTATACCTTAATGATGATTATATACTACACCTTAATGATGATGTATATACTACACCTTAATGATGATGTATATACTACAACTTAATGATGATGTATATACTACCCCTTAATGATGACATGTGTACTACCCCTTAATGATGACATGTGTACTACACCTTAATGATGACATTGTGTACTACACCTTAATGATGACATGTGTACTACCCCTTAATGATGACATTGTGTACTACACCTTAATGATGACATGTGTACTACCCCTTAATGATGACATGTGTACTAAAACTTAAAGATGACATGAGTACAACAACGTGTAGCCAATTAAATATACATGTAGATACTCTAATCAAACATATGTACTCCAAGCCTTGGGCAATAATAGTGCTCCAACAATTCTGGTCGTCTTTCAACAACTTATAAAAAAATTAAATCAGAAAAAAAAACTTTATTTTTTCACTGTGCTTTATTTATTCAATATATTTCTTAAGTCAACAATTCAGTCAGTTTCAATGGCATCTTTCAACAACACTCTTTGGGGTTCTTTCAACAACACTCTTTGGGGTTCTTTCAACAACACTCTTTGGGGTTCTTTCAAGAACTTTTAAATGTCAACTTAACAAAAAACAGATTTGTACCTGGAGAACATATCCTATGTTCAGATTTTACCTGGAGAACATTTTTTATCTTCAGATTTGTACCAAGAGAACATATCCTATGTTCAGATTTGTATCTGGAGAACATATCCTATGTTCAGATTTGTCCCTGGAAAACATATCCTATGTTCAGATAGGTACCTGGAGAACATATCAGTTGTTCAGATTTGTACCAGGAGAACATATCCTATGTTCAGATTTGTACCAGGAGAACATATCCTATGTTCAGATTTGTACCTGGAGAACATATCCTATGTTCAGATTCGTATCTGGAGAACATATCCTATGTTCAGATTTGTACCAGGAGAACATATCCTATGTTTAGATTTGTACCAGGAGAAAATATCCTATGTTCAGATATATTTTTGTTTCAAACTTCTTTAGCACTAACTAATAGACTGACAAAGGTTCTTGTACTGCTGAGCCCTGCTAAAGAATATACCCTACAAAAATTTCTGTTGACAGGATGAGCTATTAAATCAAGCACACTAAACATGCATTTGCCTGTCAGGTCATCATTTAAAATCAATTAAAAAAACAGTGACTAATTGAAAAACCTCATTTATTTATTGTCCTATTAGACCAATTTGAGAAGGATTTGTCTTATAAAATAAACAACCAATCATACAGAAATAACACAACAACCTATCATTTTCAAAGACTTTCATGTCAAAAGTACTCTTATCAACTAATGACTTCTGACTCCATAGACTAAGAGAGCTTTTCATCTTCACCCAATAATTAAGACCTATGTGAGGACAAAATCATATTTTGTCATCCAGTTTTACCAAAAAATTGTATTTCCCTTAGTATGCCATGGCCTCTAAAACCATTCAACAAATGGATGAGAAAATATTACATTTCAACTGTTAGCCGATGACATTTTCCTAATAACAATCAACATATAAGTGGTGAGAAATTATTACAAATATATAACCTTTTTGTCCCTATTTACACATGAACAGACTGTCCACTGTCCTGTCTGAGTAAATGCTAAGTTTTTCTCATTGTGATCATCGTGTTGATCTCCCATATAATGGACCGCATGCTGTCAATCACTTCTTTCAGTTGTTGATTTTTCAAACGTACTTGCTGGAATCATTCAAACAATTAAGAATTTGTTATGACACTCGTTTGCTGAATGTGGGTAAATCTATTCTCAAAGACTAAGAAAACCATAGATTATCATTGGTAAATCTATTCTCACAGATTAAGAAAACCATAGATTATCATTGGTAAATCTATTCTCACAGACTTAGAAAACCATAGATTATCATTGAGTCTACCTTGGGAATCTGTAGCATTGTTCAGGGATGGCGGGGCGAAATCTTATTAAAAATAACACCATTAAGGTCTTACAAATAGTTTTGTGTGTTAAATTTCATTCCTTAGGCAACAAAAAATCCTATCTTAAATAAATATTTCAAAAAAATGTGTAGCTAGGTTAAAAAACTCTATTAAGTTAAAGTTATTATGTGCTTATATGACAAATAACAGAACTTGGTGGTGAACATTTCTTTTAAATTAAGTGCGTAAAAACATAAATAAATATGTAACTTGTTTGAAATGAATGAACTCACCTCCACCATATCTCTGTGTTGATCAACCACATAATGGTAAACATCAGAATAATTTTGACTTCTCTCGACTTCTTTACCCACATACGGTATTAGCTCCTGAACCATAACAAAAGAAAAGAAATTATTTACATAGATCCTAAGATTAAAAGGTATTAATTATTGTTACAGAAAAATTGTTTTTAAAATGAAACAATAACATGGTTGCCAGAAAATAAATAAAAATTAAACATTAGCAATTTTTTTAAAAATATAGCTAAAATGATAGGGCAATATTAAATAACTTTATGAAAAGTGATTCTATGTTAATACTAAGCTAATACTATGTTAATATATGCATTAAAAATATTAGGCATGGTGACTTATTCACAATTGTACGCTGGTTTGGTTTCAATTTAAAATATTTCATAGTGCACTTTTTGTGATAATAAATTAAAAATACTGTTTTATTGAAGTTGCAAGGTTTGCTATTTTTGTAACAAATAGTGTTGACATGTCATGGATTCAATTTTAAAAACAGTAGATTATAAATAATTAAGATTTTGATATTTATTAATTTTGATTTTAGCATTTTTATTGTTATTCCACATCATTACTGAGTATTATGGCCAAATGATTATTCATCTCAGGGGTTCCCAGACTGATGGAATGTTGTGGCATTTAATGCACAGCTAAAAACTAATGTACTTTTTAATTACTTCAGATATAACATCTGTAGCAGACCTGTTAACCCTCGTAAAAATCGTAAATGCCACTGTTTGCCAAACGAAATAATTATTTCCACAAAATTATGTTATACAGCAACGAAGAAAACAAAAGCGAGGATTTACTAAAATTGTCATTAAGGCGACTATTCTAATATTATAGTTGTCACGTCTAGCGAGTTAATTATAAAAACACACAGGGCAACAACATGACCATCCCCACTATCATTAAGAAAATATGGTGGGGTTTATCTTATTGACTTAAATATTTAGACCCCCCTTCCCGGCACATCCATACATAAAATTGCTCAAATCAACACCACCACCTTACCCTCTCAGTCAGGAAAAACGTTATAGTTGGCCCCCAACCAATTGTAGCTCTCAATCCATTCACTGCTGGATGTTAAAACCAACAACCAAAAAATTTATTTTTGATTATTATTTTCTAATCTGAAAAACTACAGGAAAACCCAGTTTCTTAGAAACATAGTTGTGACAGGAATTCGCATACGATCATAAAAGACACCTCAAAATTGTACATTGTACTCCAAAATTGTAACAGTAATCAGGGCTGCTGAACAAAAGTCATGACATTTTTTGTTATATTGTTAAGCACTTGGAACAACGCAAACAATGACTAGTGTTACATGTAACCTATTCTAAGAACTGTGGATCTACCTGTTCAGAGGGCATTTCTATCTGGTCACAGGTCTCATTGACTTTACTGTAGCAATGTCTCAGCCTCTTGAAGTTCATACCAATCTGCTGCAGCTGCTCCCCAAGCTTTCCCTTCCGCTCTGTGTACTGGTTCCCATGAAATGTAACATTATTGGGAAGCTGCAAACCAAGGAAAAAAATAACATATTTTAATTACTGTTAATAATCTTCATTTACAACTGAAACATCTTTTAAAGTTTTGCTACCGTAACATGAACAATTAATAACTTTGGATAAGTAAAGAACATCAAATAATTTTTTAATAATTTGGTAAAACAACATTCAGCTTTAGCCATAGTGTTAGAACTACTGCATTTAAAAATGAGTTCTTTTTATGTACATGAACATTATTTAAAGTCAGTTCAATTAATTTGGAACTTTCAACAAAAAAAAATAATTAAAGAGAATTAAATACATTTATAAGTTCTCGACTGGGTGGGGATAGAAAGACTAAGACAAAGGATGACTGAAGCTTTGTGAGTCTTAAAGTAGAAACTGGGGACAGAAAGACTAAGACAAAGGATGACTGAAGCTTTGTGAGTCTTATAGTAGAAACTATGATGGAGAAAGAACCCCTAGAAAAGGAACGTCAAACTTATATCAGGAAATTTTAAACCCACGAATAATCATGATTAATCCTTGTTTTATTTCAATATGTAGCACAAACCTCTCTCTGGCATTGCAAGAGAGTGTTGTGGGGGTCAAAGTGCAATTTTGTGATCCCTGCCGAGGACGGACTTGGTCTTGTATTTATTATGTTTTATTATGGTTTAATGTTACACTCAATATTATAGCCCTGTGTGGAAAGTAAAGGCTTCTTCATAGAAACCAAAGCTGTAACGCAGTCCCTAATATAATAGCCTTTATAGATGAGAAGAAACTTTAATTGATGAGAAAAAAACAATATTTAAATAACCTCTCATTGGCCAACAAAAATAAATATCAATTGAACTGTATAATTTAGTTATAGACATGTCTTGAAAGGAATGATTTGAAGTTGTATTTTTCATACAGACAAATACCTGCATGTTTCTAGATTGTAGCAAATTGAACACATCCTGGGCCCTGCTAAGAATGTCATGTACTATCTCCTGCCCAAAACGACAAATATTGACAATATTGTCCTTTGTTGGCGACATCATCTGCGGTGCAGGTGCCGGACTCATCATGGAGTAAGCTCCAGAGATCTCCCTCTGAACTGGGTAATGATGTTGCCCGTGCTGCGACGGAGCTGATGGAATGGTTGGACCTGTCGTAGCCATTTTTAATTTGGGCTGATCAGGAATCAATACCTGTGAAGCAATACCATATTTAAAGATGATCTAGCCCATGATGTAAATTTGTCAATATTCATGCAAGCATCACTGGGGCTTGATCCACCATGAGGTGATTATTTAGTTTAGCAGAGATTAACTTCAGTCAACAGTCAGTGGCTCAATTGATCCCTAAAAAAATACACAATGCTCAAAAGAGGTTGACAGCACTCAAAGAGGTAACAGCACTCAAAGAGGTTAACGGCACACAAAAGGGTTGCATTAAAGAATAATTTAACTTTGTAAGAAAGGTAAAAAATGGAAATTAAGCCAGAAATATAATTGTTTACTTTAAATTGATTTATCACAAACACACACAAAAATTGTACAATTTATTTTTATGATAATATTTGCACAGTAAACACAGAGCACCCATACAACCCACAGACAAAATAGGCAGAAACTTTGAGAAGGTCGCTATAGACATCATTGGTCCTCTTAATCCACCTTCAAATAAGGGACACAAATTTATTCTAACCATGATTGATATGGCATCTAGATGGCCAGAGGCAATTCCCCTTAAAAACATTAATTCAGAAACAATATGCATGGCATTGTTAGATGTATTTACAAGACATGGGTTCTCTGATAAAATATTATCAGATAATGGCACACAGTTTACTTCCAACTTAACCAATGCTGTCACAAAATTGCTAGGTATAATACAAGTGCATGCCACAAGATACAGACCACAGGCCAATGGTATGGTAGAAAGATGGAACAAGACACTAAAAATAATGTTAAATAAAACAACAATAGACCACCCTAGAGAATGGCACCTATATATACCCATGGTCTTATTCGCCTATAGAGAGAGTATACAAGACACCACAGGGTACTCTCCATTTGAGCTAATGTTTGGGGCCAATCCAAAGGGACCTTTAACTCTTTTCAAAGAAAATATCTTAGGCCAGAAAGGCAAACAACAGGACACATTTGACATAATTACAAAAATTAGAGAGAGGATAACATATGGCATAGAAAATGCTAAAGAAAACACTGATAGGGAGTCTAAAAGACAAAGACACATAAAGAATACACATAGATACCTCAGAGATCTTAAAGTAAATGATAAAGTTTTAGTCTGGTTGCCAAACAATAATGGACAAAAGATTTGGCAG